CCTTCCATTTACTGTATATGTATTTCAGATTTTCTGAGGTATTTTGGGGTATTGTTAGCCTGTGAGAATGGGCAGCATGCAAGCAAAGTAAGGAAATAATTAAATTGTTCATAACTGAAGAGCGATGAGTTGGTAGTATTAGGAACCTCTAGAAACCCTTCTGAGTTGCACAAACATGAGCATGGGTGGTACATGCAGCATCAGAGAATATGCTTCATTTCCACTATTTTTAAAGAAGTCCTTAATAGAAACTGTCATGGGATATATTTGGGGGTGGAGTGTTCTTCAGGGCTAAACCAACAAAATCATAGTGCATTGTCTCATGAACTAGTTCACACTTTTCTTTTTTCAAAAGAAAAAAGAAAAGAAAAACTTCTGTTTCTCTGAGTTTTACTGCTAGATTTGCAGTTAAACCAATAAACAGCTCTTCACATCTGCTCCTTTCCCCTGGCTTAACTGCCATAAAAAGGGTTATTATACACTTGAAACTGCTATTTAGAAAACTAGGGTCCTGTAAAAATACTATGAATGGTAGATCTGGACCTCTCTGATTGGGTCACCACCAAAACAGCCCAATCATGGATACTGGAAGGCTTGTGTCTGGAGAAGACAGAAAATACTTATTCTACACTGGATTTAAAAAAAATCTGAAGTTACTTGACTGAAGTTTTGGGCTGGAGATGAGAGGAAGGCTGCATGAGACAGATATGTCCTTAAAGAACAGTTACTGAGTAAACTTTGAGCCAAGGTTAGGGGAACTGTGGATCTCTCTCTCTCTCTCTCTCTCTCTCTCTCTCTCTCTCACACACACACACACACACACACACACACACACAGAGCAAATCAAACACTTCAAAATATTAAGAAATAAATTTAAAAGAAATGTAAATGCAATTATAAACTCAACTGAGTAAAGTCCCACTGCAACTTTGTCCTTGGAATAATCAATAATACTCATCAGTAACTATTCCAATCACATTTTAATTGTTCACTACTACTTTCAGTTGCTTATATTCTCATTATTACTGTTTTGAAGGTACCTAGAAACAGCTGAAGAAATACATATATAGATCCACATTTAGGTGCAAAGATGTTTCCGCTCATTTGAACACATCCTACAGAAATAATCAAGGAGAATAACATTTTGCAGGTGGTTCTTATACCAAAACCTGTTCCAAAATGTTCCATGTTATATAACCACCATAATGTCATCCAATGGCTTTCTGGACAAGTCTGGCACAGTGGCATCTTTACTGGGGTACCCAACCGGCAGCAGCAGAAGCAGCTTTTCATTTGCTGGGCGCCCAAGCAAAACTCTTAAGCGTCGACCACAGTTCAGTGGAGTAGTGGTAACTGTCACCAGGCCCACATTCTAAAAGCAAAAAGAAGACAAAATACTGGAATATCGTAAGAACAGCATTCTTCATCCTTCTTGCCCATGCCCTATAAATCTCTGAGGAACCTATGTCTGAGTTTCATCACACTTCACTCATATTAATAGCCCTTTCAGTCTGGAATACCTTGTCCCTCAGCCCAAGAGGTCCCTTCCCTGTTTAAGAAGGCTATTAAAACGGAGCTCTTCCTTAAGGCCTTTGCACAGAGAACCAGTTTAGATGACAGCATTAATGACTTGTTATACATGTTTAATGTTTGTATGTTCTTATATTGCAAGTCACTTGTGAGTAGGTGGCATACAAACAACTGTATAAATGATTAGATAGATGCATAGATAGATAGATAGATAGATAGATAGATAGATAGATAGATAATAGATTAGTATATGCTTGAACGTGCATAATCTTTTCAGAAAGTATATATTTACACACTCTTCAATATTGATATATTTTTATAATTATATATATAGAAAAGCATGTTGTATGTACCTTTTACATGTCACACACTAAATGAAGGGGCGCCTCCCTCATGTGATCATGGCTGCTATATAGACTTTTTGAGCCCCCTCTGTGAATGTCCCTGATTCCAGTGTTCAAATCCAACTAAGTCACTAATGTGGTAGCCGAAAGGATGAGTTAAAGTTCTCAATCAGAATGGTTAATTAATTTAAATTAATTAAATTAACTAATTTAATCCAAATTGAAGTATCTGTGACAGTTGTTTGCCTGGCCTCCATCTGAACATATCTAGCAAGGGGAAGCCAATTGGTTTCACTGTTAAACTGTTACAGCATGGATCCGTCCCAAAAAAACATTTAATTGAAATCAGCCTTCTTGTTACTTGAATCTACTATTTTGTGGCCTTAGAATGATGGAGAATAAGTCCTAGACTTCTTCCATGTCTACTTGATATACTTGATATATCTTAGATAGGTTAGATATAATATAGGTTAGATCTTTGATATGTTAGATATTTCTGTAACATATCAAGAGTGCTCTGAATCCTTTTTCTAGGGTATTAGCTATTGCACCCAATTTTAGATAATCTGCAAATTTGATAGGCATTCCTTCCACCTCTTCATCCAAAACATTAGTAAAAACATTGAAGACTACAGGACTCAGGATTGATCCTTACGTTAACCATTCTTTTTCTTTTTTAATTTAATAAAGAACTGTTAACAGTAGTCTTTGAGTATGAGTTTCAAACCAGCTATGTATCTACTTGCTTTATCATAAAGTCCATTCTTAATAATTATGTCTATACTTAGTTGTTAATCCGAATGTCATGGAGTACTTCATGAAATGTTTTGTTCAAATCAAGATATATTACAAATATAGCATTCCCACAATCTACCAAAAATTACATGATCAAAAAATTAGGTAACATTAGGCTGGTAAGAGTTGTTTTTGACAAATCCATGCTGACATTTGGTAATTATTGCATTGTTTCAATAGATCAATCTCTTTTTGAACTACTCTAATATGAATAAGGGAAAGCCCAGTCCCACCAAAGGGAATTTGGGGAAAGCCCAGTCCCACCAAACAAAGGGCCCAAGTCTACTATTTGTAGTACTCTAGCTAAAATATACAGAGCATAAATTAAGTGTTTAGAATAAATGTGCTTTATATTACATTGTCAGATTGCCATGGGATTTAAGTATGTTAGACTGATTTATTCATTTATTTAAAACATTTATATAGCCACCCATCTTATATCGAACTCTAGGCAGTTCCCAACCAACTTTGCTCTAAACTTGCCCAATAGATTTAAATGAAGGTTCCCAACCCCCCAAGATTACAACAGCCTAAAGTACCTTTCCATTAAGGCATAAACAATTTTTCTTTTTCCCCAGATGTGTGGTCCAGAATACAATTTACAGTGAAGTGAAAGCAGGTGCTAGTTTCCTAAAAACTATGGTTGTGCATAATACTCCATGTTTATTATATTTCATCCTGGTCTTGCTCTTACCCAAATTGCAAGCATACCTGTAATGCAGCAAGCAAGATGCCACAGGCAATAGAAACACTGATCTCATTGTAGTAGTGAGTTTTCTTTTTCCCATCTGGAAGTATTCCATACACCTGCTTGAAAATGAGAATCAAGCAGGGAGCTCTGTCCAAGTATTCTTTGATCCAGTTTGTCCTAAGGAGAATTAAAGAGTTATTCAGCATAAAATATTTGCATTAGCTGTAAAATGCAAATGTATTACTGTATACAATAAAGGAATCTGGTTGAAAACCTTGTACAAAACCTTCTTTTACAAGCTGCCAGACACAACACCTCCTGTTTTTCTACCAAAAAAACCCTTGTGTTGTATTCAGCACCTTGGCTTGGACAACATACCCTCTACATTTGGCTTCTACTGTTTCAATCACTCTTGGTTGCCCTAAAAAGTCTGGTGAGAAAAAAGGTGGGATTTGGTGTCTTTAAGAAAAAAATATGCTGGGGAGAGAGAGATTTAAATGCACCAAAAGGCAGAAATGTGTTTTCAAGCATGATAGAAAATATATAGTGGGGGCATGGTACAATTTTAAGAATTTGCAAAACATAATTTCAGGATTAAAATAAAAACACTTATTTCATGACTGATTAGTTTATATGTAATCTAATGATTGTATGCATGGATGTATATAACAAAGGACCATGTTTAGGAATTTGTACTGGTACTCAGAATGACACTAATAGGCTGTATTTAAATTGATCCTTATATCCATAATCTAAAGAACATAATGATCACTCCCTCCAAGTTGCGGCAGTCATCCTACTGATACCTCAGCCTTTTTAAGTCATTAACCCATCTGTCTCCCATTCGTTTCATGTAGTTCATTTCTTCCTCTTCTTCAATGATCTCACGGATTTTATGCTTTACATCTTTATCTTTGACAACCACAAAGCTCCAAGGTTCAGTATGTGCCCCACTAGGAGATGTTCCTTTAATCAAATAAAAGGAAATATTTGGATTAAAATTACAGCTGCCTGATGGGCCTCTAGGGAAAGAAAAAGTATGCTTCACAACTTTGAAGTTTGCCCTATCTCATTTGGAACTGGGATACAGCTATGGGCTAAGATTACAACATTCAGTCAGATAATTGGCTAGATTAACTTTAATTGATTAAAAACATTTGATCACCTAAATGCACTGCCCCAACTTGAAATAACAATAGCTAACTTTAATAAAACAATGGATCATGATCTTCAGAAAGGCATTTTGTTCACTTTCAGATAGAAGCAGCAGCTTTGGGAAGCTGGGCACCCCCTGTGATTCATACAGGCAATATAAAGGATCTGTTTTGCTTCCAAACTTCTTATGTCTAACAGCAGTGTTAGACATATCTTATGTCTTACTTATTTGATTTCTCCTTACATGAGTTCCCCGATGATTACTTTACCTTAGAGATGCACTTCCTGAGGCTACATGGCTATATGTACAAAAAGCATTAATGCTCTCTTCCAAAAGTGGCAAAAGTTGTTAGCAAACTTTAGTTTTTAATGTTGAATTAATTATTAATATTAATTAATATATTATTAACCATATTAATTGAGTTTAATTTTGATCAAATGTAAATGAACTAGAATGAAAAGCTGTACTTTTGAGAACTACCCATTATCTTTTGGAATATGCACTTCCCCTCCCACATCCCACCCCAAGTACTTGGACAAACAAATGTTAAGCACTATGCTATAACTGAGAAACAACTTACACATGTACAGAGTGGCAAGCAAGCATTTATATTTATCCTGATTCAACAAGGTAGACTTCTTTCTTAGCTCTACCATACTGACACATGCTCTTTTCTTATGTTAAATGGGCAGTATGGGAATTCTTGAGGAAAATTGGAAAAAGCCTATGTCATAGTCCACTACATTGGCCCGGTTTCTGTAATATGGCTCATTCTTTCTGGTCTCTATTTTTTCACATGATCTTGGTAGCATGCAAATTATTCCACAATCTAAGCCAGTGTAAGAATACGAACACACACACACACACATATACAATTTCCACACATATGCAATTTCATGTTGGAAGAGGGATCTTTGAAAAATACTGAATCCAACATTGAATTATTATAGGAAGAGTGAGTTCACATACTGCATCATCTTCTTACTAATGTTGCTGACTCCTATGAAGGTGTCATACAACATCCCTTTAGGCAGACTGATATATTTGCAGCTAAAAACAGAATGCTAGAATAGCTACTCTAGATTTTAATCATTTCCAAGGAATCTATTTACAAAGAGTAGTACCTGCAGTTTTAATCACATTGTCAATTACTTCTCTTGGAACTGGCTCATCACTGATGGATCTAACAGATCGTCTCTTATTGAGAAGCTCATAAAAATCCTTTGATCTTTTAACCATGTCTTCTTCAGAATAACGCTCAGTTGAAAAAGGGATATGAGCTAATTCATTCCATTCATCATCCTCTGCAGGAGAGGGTAGGGGAAGTAATACAAAAACAAATACAAAACAGTGTAAAGGATTTCCATTATTCTTCCTGGGAAAGAAAAACTCTAGCGTTTGGTCATATTAACTACTGCATCTCATTGTATATTGACAAAGAATTTTTGGGGGAAACACTTAAGTAATATTTACAGAAGACTATCAGAAGTAATGGTTATTATTTTTCCATACTTGTTAGGTCTTTTTTCTTTTTCTTTTTTTTTGGTCTGGGGTAGGCTATACTCTCCATGCAGAAAAAGCCAAGTTCAGTTTCTGGCATCTCCAGATAGAGCTGGGAAAACATCATCAACAACAACCCTGGCTAAAACCTTGCAGAACCATTGCTAAAAGAGCGTAGAGCAGGAATGAACTGCCTGTGGAAAGCGTTGAGCTGTAGCTTCATTTGTGCTTGCCTAAGCTTGGGTTTGTAGAAGCTGGAGCTTAAAACCCTAGAGAACAACAGGTTTCACATTCCTGGTGTAGACAGTACTTGATCTATCAGTCTTCTGGCACAACGCTTCCTGTATCCCTCCCTCTCATAAACCAACTTTATTGGTGAGTAGGAGTGTAAGCAGAAGGGTCTAGGCCCCAAGGCAAACCTCTTAGATGGCCACCTCAAAGGTGATGGAGCTCAGGCACTAAGCCTCCCCAGCTGTGGTTGTGGAGGTTGGAATAAAGGAGAAGCGTCACACAAGTGCTTCTTTCCTGCAGCAGTGCTAAGCCTAAGCCTCACGAAAGAAGCTAACCGCAAGCACTGAGGAAGTCACTGGCCCCTGAGAGCTCCACTTCCGCCCTGTGGTCCAGGCCTTTGTCACCCACTTCCAGGCAATCCAAGTGATTAGAGGAGGGAGAGGAAGCCGGAGGCAGTGTCACGGCTGCTGCTGACCGAAGCAAGGGCTGACTCAGGAATGGTATGATATGCTAATAGCACTTTGGTACCAAATCAAATGGTTCCCGTTCGCCTAAGCCTTTGAAAGTTTTCAACAGTTCGCCTTGATTTGCTGATCAATAGCCGGATAGCTGGATGAATAGTTGTTTTATGCTCTGAGTGCTGTCATTTTATTTTTGCATCTTTTAAAAAATCAATGTATGCCACTATACAATGTTTTAAAAGTACATAAAAAAATGAAAGAAGCTGGCAGCTGCCGAATGACTTCTCCCTTTGCCTTCTAAAATGTACAGCACAACGCATCCTTTTTTTTTTTTTTTTTTGTAGATAGTATAAGAAAGTATTATTTCAGCTAAGTGTTTCATGTCTTTCATGTAAAAAGAGGCACTCGCTTTGCCTCCCATTTCTTGAATTCCAGAGCAAAATAATTGGAAGGGGGCTGCTAATGATATAGGAACATTGCTCATGCTGTTTACTTTAGTGCCTAAGCAGAGCCTTGCTACCTTGCCATTCAATTTGTTATATGCCAAATCATTAATGTTCATAAACCCTTAAGAAATGTTTATCTAATAATAATCTAAAGGAGGGGGAAATGACCCATGAATTAAACGGAGGAGAACAAAACTGACCCGAAGCAGCAAAATTCATGATCCTAAAACAGGGCGTTCTGCACACTTGCCACTTAGTGTTTTGGAGAGAGTGCTCAGGGCTGTTTTCCTTGCATGCAGACAGAACGGCACAAAGTCCCTTAGAGCAGGCTTAACCTTTCCCACCCTTCTGTCTTACGCCATTAAGTGGCTCTTCTGAATGCATCCAAGCCATGCAGTTGCTCAAAAGCAATGGACCGCTAGCTGAGAGGTATCTTATTCCCAAGGGATATGATTTATCCACTTTACTGTAACCCTGGCTGAGCAGGACCCAAGGCTGATCAAAGAATGCAAGTATGACCTTTTTTACCCTACTGATCAACACGCTACGTGGTGGGGCTTCAATCCAGTCCTCCCATTTCTTCATTGCAAAGGTTTCTATTACCTCCCGTACAGCCCAAACTTGGAAAACAGCCAAGTGAGAAGGGAGAGAAAACTTGTAAGTGGAAGATCCCTCTAACAGATTTTCCTTCAACAGTAGTCTTGGCACATGCATACACATAGTCATACTATCCCTAAAAGCAATAAATATCTGGGCCAGTGCCTATGTAACGAATGTAAGGAAATTCCACTGAAGACCAGCTCCTGAAAGACTTTAGAAGAACATTAGCTGATGGGTCCATCCAGCTAAGGAGCAGAGACAACAGAAGCCTAAAGCAAAGGTTGCTCAGAAAGATGCCTTTCCCCTCTCAGGTGAATTTTTTATAAGAGGAAGGGGTAGTCTCCATTCTGCCTTTTTCTTTGGCATTTTGCTTTCTCCTCTGAGGCTAGCTTGCAAAGTATATAAAGCCCCCCCTCCTTCCAACACAGCCAGCAGCGTTGGGGCTGATGATCTGGACACGAGAATCCAGAATTCTGAATGAACCAGTGGTGCTCGTTCTGGAAAGGGAACCAGCCTTAAGCACATAACCAGGCCAGGCTGGTTTGAAATCTCTTTCACTTTCTATCCTACATTTGGAAAAAAGCACAACTGTTTGTCCTTCTTAGTAAATTAAACAAGGAAAGACCTGGCATACATGGAAGCTGCAGCTGGTTATTTGCACACCATTGAAAAGCTGCTCACGGTGATTAAGCACGTTCTATAGCCTACCGTCTAGGAATAAGTTGTATTGAACTTCAGGGACATACATCTCCATGAACACATAGAGGTGCCATGTTAACAACTGACAGATAAAGAGCTTTTGTCAATAATGCACACACTGTCGCTGCTTTCTTTCCCCATAGCTCAGATCAGCTTCACTGCCTTGTATATCAGCTACGTTATTACTTTATATAACCAAAAAGGAGGACCACAGGCTATGTTAGCCTTGCGAGGTAGTCCAGACAAGAAGCACAGCTGACAGTACTAGCTCTCTCTTTATTGCAAGGTTACATTAACAGAATTTTGCAAGTCTGAAAGTACCCCTCCCATCCCTCACTTTTGACTCTCCCCAAAACTAGAGAGGGTCCCTTCTGAGATGCTTTTGCCACCCCTCTTCCTTTGGACTCAAATTTTGTTTATTGGACTGTTGTCTCAGTTGTGGTTCTTCCTCCTGTCTCCCGAGATCATTCCCACGTACCATTACATGCTAAGAGGCTGCTATTGCCACTTTCTTCTCCATCAAAAACACCAGGCGACACACCGGCACAAAGTTTTCATTTCTTTAACCACCCCATGATTTGATCTTCAACTGCATAAGCGCTACATATAACTCCAAAACACAAATAATTAAACACTAGTGTAAAGTAGCTGTTCCCAACCTTATCCTCTCCAGATGTGTTGAACTTCAACCCCCCCCCCCCCAATTCTCAGCCAGGAATAGTTTTTCATACCTTTTTCCTCTGCATGTAAATCAGCACCATCTTTTAGGCCTTCATCCCCCCATGGGCAAGACACTGTCTTCTTGCTAGTTGTGCTTAGTTCTGTTTTGGGAGTTTTCCTGCTGCTTTTGAGTATTATACCTATCAAGACACAGATTAGTGCTACCACAACTGGAGTTAAGGAAGAAAATGCCATAATTGGTGAGTATCAAATGTGGTATCACAAGTCTTCACACAGCAAGTGCTCCTTGTTAAAAATGAAACTGTAAACAAATAGACCAGAAGGATTAGAACCACCCACTTAAAGGGTTCAGCCCTCTTGGCTTCTTGAAGCCAGGTTTTTTTTTGAAGCAGGTCAGTCGCTCTTTAACAAGGTCTGGCTTCTTTCCCAGAGTTAAGCCTGTTTATATTATGCCTGAGTTGAAATCCCATTGCAGAAGTTGACCCCAAGTTACATTAAGTTAACCACACTGATTTAACTGCTATATTGTTCTTGGGAATTCATGAGCCAGTATATAGAGCTCAGATGACTCCGAAGGTTGAGCACAAAAGCCCATTGAAAGATGCTCAAAACCATCCTAATCTTTTGGGCCAGGGATAAGTCACAGGCTCCCCTCTAGAAATTTTAAACCAGGGGTTCCTAAACCTTTTGCCATCACGCCTCCCTTAAATGTAATCTTCACGTACAAGCCTCCCCTAAAAATCCAAACATCAAAATGAACACAAAGGAACAATGAAAAGAATATAATGAAACTTTGGGAAAGGTGGATTTATTGTAACAGTGTAACTAAAATGCTTTTCACCCCTCTCCTGGACTCTGTCTGCACCTCCCCAAGGGAGGTACACCTCACAGTTTGGGAAACCCTGTTCTAGCCTGTAAACCACCGAGCAGGCCATCTGGTACCCCTACCCACCCAAATTGCATAGTACCTATAGCTGGGAAAATGATTTTGCTATAGGAGGTAGTAAAGCTCACTGCCAGGGTAAACTGGTTCAAGACTGGAGGATTTAGGAGACAAATACTCTCACTTATTGCACAGAATTACTTTGGAGCCTTAGATAATGCCAGTAAATACTTCCAGTTTTAAATGGTTAGGTTTTGCTGAACTAGCAAGGGTTCTGCTTTATATTTTTATGTGAGGGTTTCTGCATTTCCACATGATGCAATACATTGAATAGCCATTCCTCTGATTTCATCATTAAAGCCGATGTTTTGTTTCTACTATCAATCTTTGGAGCTATTACAGGACTTGTACTGCTCATTGGAAGCCCACTAAAAATCTTAATTGAAGGAGTTCAATATCATAGTTACCTTCAGTCTGGCACTGTTATTTGTTTGCAAAAGTAGAGTTTAAGGCAAATGGGTATGAATCAGGAGCGAGTGGCAAAAGAAGACTGGCATAGATGCATGACTGTTTTTTCTTCAAAAGGAGCCATTAAAACAAGGAGGAGGAGGACTAGTGGTTATGCTCATTATGACAAAAACATGGTCACTATTCACCTATCAGTTCAGCTACAATAAGCAAATTAACACCAGAAATCAGGTTTTGAAACAGGGACTTCAAAGCCATTGCTACCTTTTGTTTTAATCATATCTGATATATTTGGCCTCCAAGTGCTACCCTTTCCTTTCTTCTTCAGAGAATATTAACTAAGCTTACTAAACGTGAGGCTGTGAACTTGAAAACTAAATCATGGGATATCAGTTCTTAATATTAGCAAATCTAAAATTTGTGTTGACGGAAAATCATCCCAAAGAATTTCAGCAATCTTTGCCTTAAGAGGCAAGTGCAAACCATATATGGAATTCAGCTAAGGTGAGGACTCTGGTTATTTACCGAAAGGGAGCATCTCTAACCTGGAGACCCAGATACATTGCTTTTCAGATGCCTCTTTTTCAAGGACTGTGTGCTGTTATTGCCTTTAAGGAAAACTTAGGCATAGGGGAAAAAAATGGTGACCTCTTTGTTCTGTTGAGAAGCTTTGTGTAGGGCAGTGTTTCTCAGCCTTGGATGCTTTAAGCTGTGTGGACTTCAACTCCCAGAATTCCCTAGCCAGCCATCAAATTCTGAGAGTTGAAGTCCACACAGCTTAAAGCAGCCAAGGTTGAGAAACACTGGTGTAGGAAGTAAAGAAGATAACCTTGATGGACACGTGCAAGATCCATTACCAGGGCAACAGGGGGTGAATTATATTTTAAGTCCAGAAAACAAATAATATTCAGAAGCAGCTCAGACAGACACCTCCCTAATTCACTGGAATATAAGAAGGAGGAGATACAGCACAATCAGATGTGCAAGATTCTGTTATTATAGCCAGTCTCAATAAAAATAGTTTTAGCCTTTTTATGGACTTGATTTCTTTGTCTTGTCTACCTAGTGGAGCTGACACTTTATTAACCTAGGTCAGTGGCAGCCATCATTAGACTGCTCCAAGTCAGAATAGTTATTTATGTTTTATTATAGCTATATTTGTAAACCTCCCCAACTGCTTTCTCCATCACAGTGTTTGCCCTGTGGAATAGCATCCCACTGGGGATCTGCATGACCCAACCCTGTTAGCCTTTTGTAAAGCAATAAAGAGCTGGTTATTCCCCCAGCCTGGTTACCCAGGCTTTGGGACTGGAAAGTTAAGTGGTTGGTCTGTTTGGCTCCAGTCTTGTGACTAGAAGTGGAATGTTTTTAGACCTCGTGCGTATGTTTATTTTGTTATATCTGGTTGTTATTTATATTGTGTTTTGGTTTTGGTGTTAACTCTTGTTCAGTGTGTAGAGTAACTGTATCATGAGATGGGTGGCTGTATAAATTGTATTGCTAACTCTCTAAATAAATAAGTAAAAATGTTAGAGTATTGCATATTTCTGGCAGAAAATTATAAGATATTCAGACATTGGCATCCAGAGGGAGGCAAGAATGGATAAATCTCCCATTGGGGGAGATGGGTGGCATACAAATTGAATGAATGAATGAATGAATGAATGAATGAATGAATGAATGAATGAATAAATGAATGAATGATGAAATGTGGTGCAACGTTGATATATAAATACTTACGTGCTTGCATGTGATGTGACACCAGTATGAAAGAAAGAACTTGCATCATGACATCACAACACACACTTTGTTACTTTGGATCATCACGGTTAGGCATGGTTTGGACATCTCTAAATCAAACTAAACTACATTCACAATGAGGATTGATTCAAATTCCAATCTCACCAGGATATGTTGCTGAATTACAACTCCCCACAGTGTGTGCCAAGGTGAGGAGTACAAGAACCTATCATTCAGCAGCATCTGCAGAGCCACGGTTTTGCCACCCATGTTTCACAGCTAGTGGGATCTGGGCTGCATTTATGCAAAGAATTCTTCCTCTAAAATGTCCATTGCTGTACCAATTTCTAGATATAGGGATTAATTAAATTGATCCTTCTGCTATCTTGACCTAAGGACAATTTATCCTGAGTTGGTCTCAGCAACCATTTTAGTGAGCACCTTGGTGCCAAGTAGTATTAATTAGTCTCTTATTTCCCACAGTAGTACAAGGGTAGGGAAAATGGTTCCCTTGGTAGGCATATCAAATCTGGACTACAAAAATCCAGATGACTCTAGAACAGTGTTTCTCAACCTTGGCAACTTTAAGATGTGTGGACTGCTGGCTGAGGAATTCTGGGATTTGAAGTCCACACATCTTAAAGTTGCCAAGGTTGAGAATCACTGTTCTAGACAGGAGCAAAGAATTAGAGTTTTCTGTATTTCTTAACTACTGAATGATCATTCTTATACTTTATATCAGTTGGGTTGATTGTAATGGCTCTTGTTCTGCCTTAACCACACTAGTAGTACTCTGCCCTTGAGAAGAATGGGATCAAGCACTAAGCTGAATCACCTAGATCACCTGATACCCCAAGCAATTCTCTATTCTCCTCTGTTTATTCCCTCATATCCCACCGGAGAGACAGGAGTATGCAGCTTTTTTAGGCTAAGGACCACACTTGACTCCTGAATAACAAGCTGGGGGCGCTCTCAAACTTCAGTGAGAACAGAACAGAAACTAATATCATAAGGACCTGAGATCTAGTGGCCAACTTCCTCTCTTTTTAGTGCCTCCAGTTTCATTCACAATTCCTCCATGCTGTCAGCAACATGCAGCAACGAAGCTCTATAGCAAACCACTAGAGGGTGTGAAAACATTGCAGAAAAGTGTATCTCACAGAACAGTAGCTTCTAATGCCACCAAAACACACGGGTGTAGGGAAATGTGGACACTTTTTCTTTCTGAAATAAGAAAATATTTATAATGATGTAAACCATTTTTAAGAAAATATAGTGCCTCCAAATAAATCAAATAAATAAATTCAAATAAGTTGAAGAGACCCCAGTTCTTATTTATATTTATCCAGATAATCAACCAGATAATCAAAAGGGTTACACATGCTTTACCTTTGGACTCACCTGGGTAGAAAATACCTGTATTGGTTTGCTTTATGCAATTTTTCTCCTACCTCATCAGATAAATATTAAGTGCGGCTAATAGGATATCTGGTCATTGCATATTTGAAAGATATAGGTGTGAACACCAGAATAGTACAGCGGTTAAGGTTTTGGATCAGGACCAGGGAAACCCAGCTTCAAATTCTGCCTCAGCCATGGAAGCTAACTGACCAGTCACTCTCTCTTAGCCAACTTATTTAGCAGGATTGTTGGTATGGGGAAACTTTGGACAAGAGATTCCCCTAAGCTCCTGGAAGAAAGGCAGAACATGAATGAAATGAACAGTCTCTGTCCCTTTCTCCTTCTCTTTTTATTAAAAAAAGGAATGATTTCCTATAACAGGACCCTGTGGGACATCCAGCTGGGTTACTAGAGAATGTCCCACCAAGACAGATTCTGTTTCTCCAGTTCTGACTACCCCAAATTGTGCAACAAATTCTTTGAGGAGTGGGCATACAACCTCATCTAAGATACACCTCCATTTCATAGGCATATCCCACAAGGTGCCTCTATGCCATGTTCACATAACTTTAGAAGAGATCCAAAGAATATTGACCTCCATCTAGAGCCTTCTCATTGTCTTCCCACCACTTGCCATCCAAAATCCCATGAAGAAAGAGAGAAGGAATTGGAAGTATCTTTAATTTTACAAGTGCATCACCCGTTTGCATTTCATTGCTATCTGGTATGAGTTCCCCATCTGCAGAACAGAGCATCTTGGACAAGTCTGCTCTTCAAGGAGTCTGGCATTTGCAATACAGTAT